TGACTGATCAAGTAATCTTTATCAGTTAGGGCGTTTGTTTTCATTTTTTACAAAGCTTGCATTTTTAATTAAGAATTTCCAAGACCATTAAAGAACGCCAATCTTGTCATGAGCATGCAGAGTTTTCTAAGAAATTAAGCAGTGAAATTTAAAATATGGACGAGAAACTGCGACTAATCGTGGATTGAAGTGGTTAAATCAATATAATAAAGAGATCACGATGCCTATTTAAATCAACGCTGGTCACTGGAGGTAGATTTAATCTACTGTTATCAGATTCTAAGCCTGAATTTTAAGTGGTGCTGATAAAAAGGCTATAGGAACTATTCAGAGATGTCTCTAATAAATCTTCACTATGAAACACCTGTATTAACTGACATGAAGTTCTTCATAGTGTTTTCCACTCTTAGTTGTGCAGACGAGGTCAAATTAACATGTAAAGTGATTCTACCACAAAAAAGCTATCTCCCTTTAGTTTTCACATAGTACCTACCTTTTTAAAAAATTATAATTTTTCTTGTTTCCTGCTTATTTTGACTTTAGATAGCAGAATTACTTAATTTACCTTCGCAATGATACCTTATTAGTTTGAAAGCAATTATTTTAATGAGTTCAGTTATGATTGATAATTGGTAACAATTTTATTCTTGCTTTTGTCTTCGAAATCATTTTAGTGTCTGTAATTAAGCCTGATGGGTAAACACAGCTGTTAATAATTGTTTAGATGGGTTACTTAGTAGTTGCTTTTTGCCATACTGCATCTACTTCTTGATATCTTTCTTACTAGGAAATTGCAAAAGTACTCTCCTTCTGATTCCCCCAAGCTTTGGGAAAAGCAGTTGACCCGTCGTGGCGGTATACGCTTCCATCCAATCCTATGTCTTCAGGTTGCTGGAACTGAGCTTAATAAACAGCTTATTACTTTCGCCAAAGAAGTTATAGCCTATCGAAAAGCAGCTGCTGAAAGTCGGGCCAAACGCGCGGCAGAAGCTAATCAGATTTCTTCAGTTTCCATTTGTTCCACGAGTCTCACAACTCTTATATGTGTCATTGATGATGATACAGAACTGGGCCAAGAGGCTACCCGTATCTTGGCCTCAATTGGCCGTGAGAGAGTTGGCCCACCCCATTCCAGACAGCAAGGTCAGTTTGACTCAAGCACTAGCCGAGAGGAATATGAGGGTGAAATGGGTGCTCTGATCCGCGACTACCTTGATTTCCGTAAATTGATCCTTACTATTGACCCACCTAGCGGGCCGGATGATGACCTACCCTCAGGCAGCTTGCCTGGCTTAACTTGTTCTGGTTCTGGGACTTCTGCTTCTGCAGCTCAAAGTGGTGTTGTTGGTCAGACCAGTCTAGTCGTGAATTTCCCCCAACAAGTAATGCCAATGACGACTGGCTCGGGCCAGGTCATCACAAACCCATCTGCTGGAGTGCAGATGGCACAGATGATGTCTATGCAAGCTCTCCAGCAACTTCAGCAACAACAACAGCATTTGTTGGTAACAGGCCAGTACGTGCCGGGCCAGCTAGGAAATCGGAATTCAGACGATGTTATACTCGTCGGCACCTCAGGCGGACCTCTGCTTCAGCCTACCGATCAGGTGAGCCAGCTTATTCTTCCAGCGGGTCAAGCTGCTGCGCACATGATGCAGCTTCGCGGCCAAATGGTGGCGCCACATCAGGCAGCTCTTCAGCAACAACAACAGCAACAACTCTTTTATGTCCAGCAGCAGCAACACCAACAGACACAGCAGCGACATGGTAAGTATTGTAGTCAACTTTTCCTACTCGTAATCCTAGAGATAGGCTCTAAAATAGGCGAGATTCAAAAACGACATAGTTGGTATCCAGTAGTGACCTTGATTCAAAAATAAATTCGTTTCATTATTAACTGGCAAGATCGCCCACGGCCCTATAATTAAATCAACTCTTATATTTAAGTGATATTAACTGAAATATACTGCTCCTATGCTGTGCTCAAGTAAAACAGGGTCTACAATAACAAGTCAGCTAAATTTTGCTATTTTGAAATAATTTTTGAGTTGAATTCCCCACCATGCTCTTTGGTCCTTATATTACCTTACTCTGCCTATGGTAACTTAAATCCAGTCAAGGTCTGGTAATTTTGCATAATCTATATTCATTATATAGTAATGTTAATTACAAGCTCCCCGTATTGATACCTCTCATAAATGTGATATGGGAGCGACCTGGCTTGCCTTGAAAGGTTCAACTTCCCCCTGGCCAACAGCCACCAGTGGTTATGCGGCCAAGCTGTGCTGCTGCTTAACGAGAATGACCAGGTTTCGGATCCAATA